TGTGTCATCTGGTCTCAGCTCATTTACATTTCCTCATGGGTACAGTGCCACAAGTTGATGAACTGATGACCGCGTCAGTTTGAGGGTTAAATTTCATCCTAAGGCCCGAAAATCGGATATCTAACTCGTCGTCTTGAAACCCGAGAATCAGTCAGTACAGTGGATATAATTCGACTTAATTTGTTAACGTATGTAATTATGGATAGATGAAGCAGAAGGTTACATGAAACTTGTCAATATACTTTTTGGCAGGTAATCTTACAAAAATATCGTTTTCTCAAAGTACGTCGAAAGACTGGTCTCTCGGAACTTTGTCGACATCATCATTGAGCAGATATTATAGTCAATGACAACCTGTTCACAAGACTTGATGAATCATTACAGCACTTTTTACTATCACGTGACATATGTCTTCAACTTCTCTAATAGCCCCGTTATAAGTGAATGCTGCACTGGCCTAATAACACTCATCTGATAAAGTTTTAATAGACAAGACATTTGACAATTTTCAACATAGAAAAAGGATAATTTTCCAACAACTCTCGATGAGACTGTGCACATCCCCTCAGATTAAACAATGGAAAAGTAAATATGATGGATTAATCGACACCCACTTCCAACAAATGAAGGCTTACCCTGATTTTCTGATCTATTTACAATTATTTCCATGTTAGATTTCTCGCTATGTCCTTCCTTCTCCGATTGAGACGAACTTGACCCTCTTTTGGCCTCGTCTCCCTTCTTATCAAGCAGATGACTTTGGGTGAAGCTCTTGCTCTCTTCTAGAATGCCTCTGCTTGTTCTATCAGTCTCCAGGGATCCAGTTTGTCTGCTCGGCTTCAGAGAAGACCTGTGGATTCCATTGGTGATATCATCCTGAATACCTTGGCCTATAATAGCAGTAGCCATAGCCATAGAATGCAATGAGATGTCATCAACTCCCTGGTCCCTGAAAGGAGCTAAATCATGCTCTGATATAACCGTCGCGGAAGCCATGAGAAGCTCAGATACAGCACTATTTCCACCTGTCGAATTGACTAAGGCTGTTAAAGATTTCTCGCTGCTCTTTCTGGTACTATGGTGGCCTGATCTTCCATTCACTGAGGCCGAAGTCAAATCGTAACGGTCTGGATCTGGTCTGCTTAAGTCTATAAGCAAAAGAGCATTTGAAGGATGCTATTTATTTACGGTTTGTAATAAGAGCATAATAAAATTAATTCATTATGATACATTCAAGAAAAATGGCTCCGCTCATTAAGCAAGGAGCCTGGATAAATAGCCAGGACCAATCCAGTCAAATAAGCTATTTTTTCTTATGGCAACTCCGCAGGTTTACATAAAATTAAATAGGAGTTGCTAGTTGTAAGGTAGACTTTCATTGATGTAGTGATAATATTTAGTGTTATCGTTATGAAAGCTTCTCTTTATTGGATAAAGGTTCATATTTACTGAATTATTGCTTATGAAAGTGATTTGGAAATGGTACACAAAACATAAATAGGTGACTAGATTTAAACGAACCTGATATTTAAACATTTGCTCTTGTTCAGAATGAGCTGCCATATCTATCTGTCCCTCATTTAAACTGTGATTAAAAGTGTGTTCTACATATATTTTCACACATTAATGTGTCGTACAGGAAACCTGTGTTTGTTTCTAGATCTCTCATTTGCAAGTTCAAAAGCCAATATGGTGGCGAGAGAATACTAATCGTAGTTAAACTGCATACAAATCAGAATGCAAGCTCACTTTTAAGCTAGGCGATTAAGTAAAACTAAATTGAATAGATAAGAGGTAGAACTAAAATTAAGTTAAAAAACTTAAATTTTCCATCATTCCAATGTCCCTAAAGTACTAATATCGCTATATGCCTTGATTATAAAATTTTGAAGTTAGTTTGTAAGTCTAAAACTTTTTTTAACTTCTTCATCCATTAAAAATTGAAAAATTAGAGCAACATATAATAGAGAATGTAATTTATATACATTTTGCAGAACACTTGCTTCCAAGCATCAACTTAAAATCTAATTAGTCAAGTTTAACTATATTATTAAGTTGCGTTGATGAGGTAAATTCTTATTCTGTAAAAGTATTTAGAGTTGTACTCGGCCACTAATGATTGGACTATATATGACTACAAATGCAGGGGGCCAAGTGCCCAGCGTTTTACTGTAAATCTACTTGAATCAGGTTGTAGAAACAATGTCACACTTTTTCTCAACAATGAAAGTATAATCGAAAGTATGAAGGCATGACTGGCGTGGCTTTTTGTATGGTAGCAGTCTTCTTCCGTTGTATATAACTTGTTTCACCTTGTTTTTGCAACTAGATCACATTGGCAGGAAGACTAAGAGGAGCCCATAGTATGCATGATCATCTCCAGAGTCGGACCGTAGACTTGGTACATACTCAGAAGTTTAGCTTTTTTGATGCGTTGTAGTGTAGTGCTAAGAATGGCAGGGATCTCTAACAACGCCGACAGCGATGCTGTCGAAACATTTGGGAATGTATCAAGTCCACGATCCGACTCTGGAAATTATCATGTATACAATGTACTCCGTACAAGGTTGGATACTTAATTCTACATCATACCTCTATTATATATCTAGCTTAACCTGTACTAAATTGCTGGAATAAATCTGTTTAAGGAGG